GTCGTCGTCGTCGTCGTCGTCGTCGTCGTCGTCGTCGTCGTCGTCGTGGTAGTAGTCGTCGTAGTAGTAGTAGTAGTAGTATGTAAGTACGTTTGTACGTATGTATGATACAAAGGCATCGGTCTTGGGTTTTCCTCATCGGTTTTCAATGCTCAATGTAAGACCTACCGACATAAAGCTCTTGGTTCCGACATTTTCGGACGGACATCGACACTCATCACGTTACGGGACAATGGGTCGTTTGAGAGTTGGAGTGGTAGAACAGGATGCAATGTTGTCTTGCTCTATTTTTTGAGTCTTGTTGGTTTTGCTAGATAGCTCCCTATCGGGGTTTTAGGATGTTGGACAGGAAGCTTCCAGCACTGTAGTCCGCTTCGACGACGGTGCCATTTCTTCAGTGGCGAGGGGTCATCTTCCCCGTTCTGCTTGGGCTTCGGTTGAGCCAAGTCAGCGGGGTTGGAGGGGGTTGGGTTGAAAAGCACCTCCCCCAAAGAGCAAACATCGTGCCAAAGACAACAACAAGCTGCAAATTGCAAGGCAAAAAGAGATCTGATCAAAACCGACATCCAACGAAATCCACGAGAACCAAAAGCAGGCCGTTGAAAACCAAACCAGCCAAAAGATGCCAAAAGCCACACAAGCCAGCCAAAAGCATTAAAAAAAGCTCCGAAATCAAAAGCGACAGAACCACCAAAAGCCCAAGCCAAAAGCCACAAAAGCCAGAAAAAAAAAGCACACAAACAAACTACAAAAGCCGCCACAAGTTCAAAAGACAACTCCGCACGTTTCCCCATCCCAACTGGTGGCGCAGATCGGTTCACACCCACATGATCTCCACCTGTGCCAGACCATTCTTGAACGGCGCGAATGGCACCGAGCTGGGCGCTGCTGGCGCCGCTGCCGGCGCCGGCGCCGGCGGCGCTTTGGGCGCCGGTGCCGGTGGGACCACCTGCCCAGTCGCGGAGTGGACAGCTCGGTGGCAGTCAGGCTATTCTCGAGGGTGAGATGCGGGCTTTGGTATGGCTGAGCATGACGTCTGAGATCATTTAGGACAGTTTATCTCAAAGAACATATTCCAAGATCTGCATGTCTGTTTTCGTGGCCAAAGAGCCTTCTTTTCATTCAGCACTTTGTCCGCTTGCGCATTGTTGATGAGGTTCTCCATCAACTTCTGGACATTGGAGACTTCCCTCGTCTCCTGAAAATCTTCTGGCTTCCCAGGGCTCGAGGAGGAGAGGTTTTCCGAGTGACCATGATGCAGTGCTGTGAAAGAAGCACAGTGGGAATCATCTCCCAATTCCCACTGACACATCTCCACGATCGAAAAGCCTTCTAGAAATGGTCAGCCTTCTGATGCCTTCTGTTTGTATCGGATCCAGAGTCTATAGGCCTAGGTGTTCTTGAAAACAATGTACTAATAAAGACTTGTTATCAAAACCCTTGACTGGACATCTAAGAAGAGGAGTTGAGGGCAAGAGTTGTTTTTGTAGAATCCTCCATGGAAGCGATGTGCATCGGCAAAGTGGACACTGCTGGACTCAAAGCGGGTTTGATACTTTGATATTTCACGGGTGACCCACTGTCATGGCACCCTGGCTGAAGAAGAAAGAGGGGTCCCTCCTGCGAAAATGTGGAGAATGGCGTATCAAGCCCAAACTCAACCAGCGAACGGCCTATCAAGCATGTTCCTTCAAGATCTACAACGGAGTTCTATGACGAACCAAACAACGACAAGGCTAAAGTTTAAAGCAAACTAGGTGCGCTGGAATCGACAAGGACTAAACCCCCTGCACAACTGGCTGTCAATTTGATAAACATGGCTCACACATGCTGTATCTGTACATATTTCGCGGAACAGTGGATGGAACTTTCATGAAGGCCTTCTGCCCTACAACCCATGAGCTTTTCCTGGGAATAAGCCCGATCGACTTTGCACGAAGCCCTTGGAATGAGCCCTTCCCTTCTCCAGGGTTTCTGTTGGTTTCGATGCTTGTGGATTTCCAGAGCAGGGAACTGCGAAAAGTCCGAATTCCCGGAGTCACTCTGACCCAAAGAAGCACATCGAGAAGCATAGTAGGCGGCCAAGCGTATCTCCATCAACAACACAAAATCTACCAGGGCGGTTGATACCCTGCCAAGAGATTGCTTTTCTAAGCTCTCACACAGCTTTTGGGAACGGTTTCCCAAATGAGGCTGATCATGACCTTCACCCTCAAAAGGCACCAGCTTTTCCAGCCATGGTCCCTTCGTCTCCTTGGTGTCCTTGCCCTCCTTCTTCGCGTCGGCCATCCCTTCCTGGCAGCTCGTCAGCTCGCAGCTCGTCTCGTTGGAACTGACGAGTCGACACGCGCAGGTTGGACAGGTGGTTCTGAACCGGAGAGGTCCACCGAGGTGGCCCTCATCGGCCCAGCTGGGGGAGCTCCGGAAGAGTGGGTGCTGAAGGTGGTGCAGGAGATGGTTCAGATTCCTGTCTGGCCTGGTGGGTGTGTAGATTAAAAAGTATTAACATAGGGAGACCCCCAATGGGTTTTGGTCTATGTTACTTCTTCCATCTTCTTCCAGAGGGTCTTTGGGGAGGTCTCCCTATCTCATTTTGGAGACCGTCTCCCTATCTCAATACACACACACACATCTATGTGTACGTACCTCCGCAGACCATCCTGGGCAAACCTGGTCTTCCCAAGCCTTCCGCAGACCATCCTGGCAAATGGTCACACGAACCTCAAGAAACACTCGGGTCCACTTCCAGACGCGTTCGAGAGGTTCTCTGCCCAGGTCCAGGATGTCTAGAGTCTAGAAACCCTGCCAACTCAGAACCCAACCATGTCTGTTTGACTTGGAGTTTGGGGAGAAGCCGAGATGTTGAACTGAGGCTACCCAACGGGAACATAGTGAATGGTGATGACTTTCGGGAGCTTGGCCAGATTGCAAACAGGCCTCATGTTTGATACGTCCGTTGCAGTCTGGTTCACGTCCCTCGGACGGACTTACCTCACGCTCCGCTCACGGCGGAGAAGCTTCCCACGCTGCCAGCGAAGCGTCACAAACAGAACAGTCGTGCCTCGACTTCCATGAGATACTCTTGGATCTGCACGCACTTGTCCAGCAGCTCTTTCTCATCCTCTGCCTTCACGAAGACGGATTCTTTCGTGAAGAGTCATTAGGCGATGGACGGGTGGAGGAGGGAAGGAAAGGATTCTTCCCAGACCAGGTCGAGACACTCAGATGATCTCTCTCTCTCTCTTTTTCAAGCGATGAAGGCAGCTCGTAAATGACGAACTTGGATAACTCATCATCCCCACTGGAATAAGTAAGTGGAATGCTGTCTAGAGCGCCACAATCATCCTTGAGCAAGCAAAGGCTAGAACCTTTGGCAAGGAGCAGTTCCTACGTGATCACCTGAGTAAATACTTCGGTAGTAAGGTTCCACACGCATCTTCATTTAGGCGGCAGGGTAAAAGTTCTATCTGCAAACTTATCCAGCTGTCTCCTAATTGGGTCCAAGTGCCTGCTTCTTGATCTTGGTCTTCACCTCCTTTGGCTCCTGTTTCGTCAAACACTCGAGTCATGGAGTCGTGGTCTGACGACGACCGGCGGTCGCTCCGCGGTCGATCCTTGTGAGGGTCTTCCGGCAACCTTCGAAAACCCCCAAGCCGAAGCCAAAACCGGATCTTGGCAGGTCACAGTGAAGACCCAGCACCAGGTGGATCCACCAGGTCAGCACCACCTCGTGGATCATGTCCAGACTCCCGGCCAAACCGAATAAGAATAGTGCGACCCACCACCCTGGTGTGAGCAGAGCACCAGGTCAAGTGAAGTGAAGCAAGGGCCTGCTCCATGCGCAGCCTGCAGCCTGCAAAAGCCAAAAGTATATTAAACATATCGTATCACACCCTTATAGAAAAAATACTTTAAGACAAATACTGTAAGGAACCTAATAGCCATGACCTCCATCCTCATAGCGATGGCCTCAGTCCCAATGGCGCTCCATCCTACTAGCAATGGTCTCCATCCTAATAGCCACGGTCTCCATCCCAATAGCGATGGCCTCGAACTCTCAAGCTCGGACAGCTCTTCTGATCTTCCATCTCCACCGAAAATAGCAGGATGGCGAAACGGTGAAACCCTGTCTCGCCCAAGGTCTCAGTCTTTGATTCAGTCCGAAAAAGGAGAAACCCGTATGATCCATAATGATCCACGGCTATCCTCATCCAGGTGCTGTTGAGCCCAGCTCTCCTCTTTCTGCTTCTCTGGCTTGGGCGCCTCCGTCGCGCCATCCTCCTTCTTCGCTCGGGTGGCCACACCGTTCGGCAGCAAGGGGCCTTGACCTTGGCATCGCTCGGTAGCGCTTCCAGTAGAAGGAAGATGTGCTTTTGCTTTTGAAGCTCAAGTCTAAACCAACCAAACAATGACAAAGCCACCGCCAACGCCAAACAATAGAAAACTCACAAACTGGGACGTTGGACACATCCAGTGCCATTCCAGTGCCTGCCTTTTTGGAGAACACTTTGGGGAAAAGTCGCCACAAAAAAACAAAAAAAAAACATAAGCTATAGTTGAGTACAGTATGCAGTCTTTAACATATACACTCCCTCCCTGAAACAATCATGGAACTGGCAGTCTTAGGCTTCTGGAAGACCATCTTTCTCTGACAAAGAGGTGGTTCTCCACTTCCACATAATATATATATAGGTATATCACTCGGTGTATCCATATCCAGTAGTAATTACTTGTGGAGCTAGATCATGTCATTCAGATATCCAAACGTAGGCCCTCGATGGGGCGCTGACCATATACATATATATATTAATTGTATACAATCATATACCAGCACCACCCAAAGGGTGGTTTTTGGATGGAACATACATCTTCAGTGGGTTCTACAAACCACCCTTTGTGTGGTACTGGTAATTGCTGGCATATAGTTTAAAAAATAAACATAAGTAAATAAATAATAACAATAATAATAACAAAAACAGTATATTATAATCATAATAATAGTAATAATAGTATATAATAATAATATATCTATATATAAGAGCCGCAGCTCCAAGGCGCCAATGGAGACGAAGGTGAAGTTCATGGCTTGCTCAGTGCGACGTTTCCGCTCCCCCGTGCGCACGGAGAGGAGATGCGGGAACTCTCCGCTGATCTTCACCTCGGTCGCTCCGGTGACCGGTCGGTCGGTCGGAAGCGTCGTCGGAGTGATGGGACCGGATGGGTGCCCCGAAGCCCCGAAGTGGAAGATGTTTGGATTGCTTAAACATGCAGAGAAACATGATGTTCATCGATATAGCCTCTTGGCAGTAGGACGGTTTGGGCGATGTCTTGGAGAAATGGAAGATAAGGATGATCGAGTCGACCGATTATGATATAGGACCCAATGCTACAACAACATGACAATATATATATATACCCCCCGGCGAACTAACATGGAACCCGAGAATTGACCCTTGGAAGATAATTTTCCTCTACAACCCAGTGGTTTTGGGGTTCCATGTTAATCTGCAGGAGAGTAACTTATATATATATAACCCCTGAAAAGAGTAATCGCACCCCTGATGTAGACATCCTCCACGCAACCCCTCAAACGAGGTCCTCACCAAAATAAAAATGGGCATGAAAGCAACAAAATAAAGCAACTCACAAAAAGGATCAGCCGAAAGAAAAAACACCACTGTTGGAGTTTGCGATCTGAGCTTCAATGGCGGCCTCTTCATCGTTCTTTCGCTCCGTAGGACTGTTGTAGAGCAAGCTAATCCCGTCCGGTGCTTTGAACTTCGTGCGGGCCGCGTACATCAAGTAGCGCAGAAGCACCTGAGGTTGGAAGAAAGCAGGAAGAAAGAGCACCTGAACTGGCATGGTGTTGGAGCGTTTTGTTTCTTTTCTATCTAGTCTATCCACGGTTACGGTGGATAGGCACAAATCGGGTCCACCTGTTTTCTTGAGGAAAGTCGTGAAGCCCATTGGAGAATGAGGATCATAGAGAGTCATCTGCTCAAATCCATCCAAATCCCAGGTCTGTTCAGTAGGGTGAGAGGAAAAACACCATCCAACTACCTCATGTGTCCATCCATCGACTCATGTCGGTCTCGGGTGGGTGTCTTACCCCGCACATCCTTCGTCGAGTTTGGCCTCCCCAAGTCGGCTGGAGTTCGGCTGGTTTTGCCGTACATGATGTCTTCTCACCAGTGTTCCAGTCCTTTTTTTCGGAAGCGTTGAGATCCTGCGGGAAAGAAAAACAAGCTGAAGGCACTGGGACCAGCTGAGGCTGCCTCAAAGCATCTTCCACCGAGGAGAATGGGTGGTTTGAGTCCTTCGAAAAAGAACGCTGCGTTGCAAGACGAGGCGCTGTGTCACTCTCATAGAAGCGACAACTGCGTTCCACGTCCTCCCAAAGGAGCATAAGACGAGTGAGAAAGGATTGATCAAACCATGTCAAGCCACGCATGACAAACAAAACTGCAAGTGTATGATGAATGCTTCTTCAACAACTTCAACCTTTAGCAACCCGCGGGAGTTTTAAAAAATGCAAAATAGCAGCAGTGAATTAGCATGTACTGGCACATGTCTGGGATTCGGAAAAAAAACGGGATTCAAAGGCAGGTGCGACTCGCTGATGGAAGACCCCATGATCGACCGGGTGAGGCAGCTTTGACATGTACACTCCCTGAAAGAATCGTCGAAGTGAATGGCGCCCCAAAAGGATGACTGGCAGGTGACCTTTGGTGTCTGAGTGCTTCGGAGCTACTGTTGGACATAGATACCAGCTCAGACTTCAAGGATGTGCCAATAGGGATATAAAACCTTTCTGTCCCAGGGGTGTTTGGTGTCATTCTTCCAATCTTCATGCCCAAGGCATCGTCCATCCTCGGTGGGCGAACAATAGATACTCATGAAGCGCTCGTCATGGCGATTCAGGTAGCCATAGGCAAAGCCATTCACCATGCCTTATGATTCCGTCGCTCGGTTGCGGTGTTCCATCTCCCGGCGGTCGGAACATCTCTGGACCAAAAAAAGGCGTCTTCGATGGGTGGAGCAACTGCTGGTAGGTGCGGGTGGAGTGTCTCGTCAAGGTAGGTGCCCAGTCCCTTTAAAAAGAAAAAACATGGTTGATCTGGTCTTGTCATGCAAACTCTTCAGTAAGACAATGGTTATGGTATGCTATGGTGCTTGGAATCCTAGCAAGATAGACTCCTGGATGCTCGGCTCACGCTACAATCAGGCCTTCACAATCACCAAAAATGCCATTCCTCGACGAGAGGCCATTCCGCCGGGAAATGCGATTCACCACCAAGTTCATGGGATTGGCCGAAGGGGCCTCGTTCGTGCGCGCGTCTGCGCGCGTCTGCGCGCGTCTGCGCGCGGTCTGCGGGTATGGCGGGGTTCATGTGTGGGGGGGGCCGCGGTGAGCGGAGCGGCTGGGTGAGGGTGAGCATGTGGAAGCGCAATGTGACGCTGATAGAGGATTCTCTATAGGGATCTATAGGGGATATACACTTCCTGATTATCTTATAGACTAGATGAATGATGACCGATGACCACTAAAGCGGTGAGAAAGGCCGATCCTCTTCTGGGCACGAGACCTGTTGCTCGCTCGAGTGATTTTGAGGGAGGCCACCGGTTTTCACCGAAGTGAAGTCAGGACTTGCGTGAAACTGAGACTTTTGGAGTAGGAACAAAGGAACGAGGAAAATCACTCGGCCTTCATCAAATTCACAAGCTGCGCATATGTTTGACCAAGGTCGAAGAGAATACAAAGTGGAAAGCAACTAGGGACCCCGTCTTGTAGGAGACATTATTTGAGACCATATTCCTCTCGATTCCTCTACAAGTCCATTCCCATGACCACCGCAGGACTATATCTGCTAGGGATTGCTAGGGAATAGTTCTGAAAACCTGCCACGTTGCCAACCATCTGAAGGTGTTTTCATTGTTTTCACCTGCAACACATCCTACTATAGATCAAGGGAAATCATGGGAACACATCCATGGTTAGCTGCCGATGGTCTGCCGATGGCTCCACCGACGTTGGTGTTTCGGGCGGTTGCTTCGCAGCTGCTTCCAGGTGGCTAAGCCCCAGATGTAACAGCCTTCCTGATGCATCAGGTCCCTCGCGTGGTGGATGATGGCTTCCAAGCTCCCGTTGGGCAAGGGCTGCATCGTGTCGGAGGACGTTCCTGGCGCTGAAAGGTGGTGTGGATAAGTAAGGGTGGATAAGGAGGTGCGAAGAAGGTGGACGTTGATGCACTTGTTATAGCTGCTCCATGTTGTTCCCTTGACATGAATCACTTGGAGAGCTGTGTCATGTTGTGTCCATACAGATCCGTGTTCCATCTTGTTTGCTTTTCTTTCGCCTAGCCGTGGTCGACGCAACCCACAAATCACCGCAGCACGTGGTCGGACGAACCAGACCAGCTCCTGGCCGGACTTTTTCGAAGACCTCAGGGATGTCATCGTCAAAGGACACGATGTGTGTCCCTTCCGGATGGGACAAACCTCAAGCAACGCAGGCATGATCATCGGATGAATCATCGGATGGCCTAGTCGGATGGCATCCTTTGGCCGTTGCGTGTTCGATGTCAACACCTGGCATCCTATGAATCTCCTGTCATCCAAAACTTGGACACCTATTTCCGGAAGAAACTCTTGAAATCTTGATCAGCTCTACAGTACATCCTCTGCCACCTCCAGTCAGATCACAGCTCCAACGATTCTGTGAAAGCTCCGAAACTTCTGAAGCCCTAGAAGTGAACCAAGTGGCTCTGATAAGAGCCAGCGAACAGTCATTTTCTTTTGAATCTGTCCCAAATTGGAAGTGCTTCATATGGTTGCTTTTGAGTGTTTCCAGGGGCTGATCTCTTGGAAAGCCCTTCACCGTGCTGAGGCCAAGGTGCCAATGCGCCATCGCTGCTCCATCACCCCTGACGATGTGAGCTACGAAATGTTGGGCCGATCGGATCGCCCGTGTGGAGTTGAACAACCGGAACAGCAGCTCTTCACATTTTTCATAGTTGACAGTTCCGGCTCAGCTTTTGACTGTTCTGGATCGCAGCTGGTTGGCATTTTTGTTACAGCAAGGTTCAAGATTGCTATGTGTCCAAACAAAGAACATCGGCATCGGAAATGTGGTGTGGACCATTCTTGTTTTGTCAATCCTTTGGCACGTCTCGCATCCCTTCCGATCGGGTCATCTCAGAGGGCAGGGAGGTGACCCTGGACGCAAGAACAGAAGAACTGAAGATGCTGGGACGCATTTTCAGCCGACCCACCCTACACACCATCACCTCCCAAAATCGTCTGACACAGCTGTTCCAAGAAGTTGCTCGTCGACAGCAAGCGGAGTCGAGTGGAGTCCACGCGAGGAGTCCACGTGCCTTTCACCCCGATCTTGATGTGCACGTCCTTCCAGTCCTCCTTCAGCACCTTTTCGTATCCTGATCCGATCTTCTGGGATCTGATCAAAAACATGGATTATCCGGCTCTGTAATGTCATGCAATGTTTGTTGCTCCCCATCTTGATCTTGATAGATGTCGCAGAGGGAAAGGCTCTTCAAAATCGCGTCTGTTCGCAATAAACTTGGGACTTTCAGGACGCCTGTGCAGAGCATGCTACCAACTTCCGTGACAGTAAAACATGGAGAACACATCACCAAAATCACTTCGCTTATCCCAGGTCTCCTTTTGGAACCCTGACACAAACGGGGACACAAACAGTGCAAAGCAGGAACACAAAACACCAAATCTTTGTGCTGCACAGCGCAGAAATCCTGGGTTCACTTGATTTCCTTTGGCAACACGCAAAACCAACTGGTTCATGCTGGTCCTGAGCAAAGTCATCTGCTCAGCAAATGCCAAGTGTCTCTCCCTCTCGGATAGGGTCTGCCCCGGCGCGCAGCCCGGCGCAAGCCAGATCTCAATGAGGTTCTGAGGAATCTTCCTCAGCATAGGTCCGACTGGGTCGAAGCAGTGTGTGCCTGGGTGGCACTGGGTGTCTGTTGTTTCACCAAATGCTAAGACCCCAAAACAGAGTTTGATGTACACCTCTGTTTCAAACAAGACGCATAGTGTCCAGAACCTTCACGGGGTACTGTATGACCTTGTCGCCGTTCTTTTCGGCCAAACATGTGTTTGTGCCAGGTCTCTGTCGTCGAAGGAAGGCCAGTGTCTCGTTCACCAGCCGGTCTGGACGGCCATAGGTTGGGATCACCACCACGTAGGGCGGCCGTGTGAAGCCCGGCAGACACTTGGCCTCCAGTCGGTCGTGGGGAACCCACTGCCCGGTGGACTCTCAGACGCGTGAAGCGGGAATCCTGGACAAGGAATCCCGGAGGAGGAATCTTGAATGTACTGTGGATTGATAGTGGATTGAATACCAATTCTTTCTCCGATCAACAGTGTTTGAATGGGCTCAATGTTCTCAATGTGCGTCTTTTGATTCTTCCTTTTTTGTTGGGAATCCGCTTTGTTGAAGCAAAATGCATGACCTGCCAAGGAAAAGATTTCGACTCTCTACCTACAGTATCTCCTTGAGAGCAAAGATTGTTTGGCTGCCTGGGATCTACAAATGATGGAAGATGCTAGTTTACAATCCACGTCAACATAATATCATGATCGGAAAAATCCAACAAGGCAGCAGTGCTTGATTCGCCTGATTTGGTTCTCTCAGCGGCCAGGCCTTCAGCGCTGGAACAATGACTGGGTGTTGAACATAGCTAAGTAGGCAAGCTTTGAAACGTCCAAAGCCTGAGATGGAAACTCAGCCTTCAGCTGGATCACCAGCGTGCTCAACTCTTGATCCGTCAGCTGGCAAACACCCTCCAGAAGTTCCTTCACATCCTGGCCCTCCTCCAATGTCTGCAAACAATGCAAGAGGAGCGTCTTGAGATCCTCTAAATGCTGCTTCTTACGCACACGTTCCTCCAGAAGTTCCACCTGCAACTTCCCCTGACGTTCTTTTGCCTTCTTCCAGGCTCGCGCAAAACCTATTGTGCCCACAATACCACAAACCCAAGTAAGGATTCTGTCGAAAAATGTATCGCTCTTTGAAGTCGATTCTTTTGCAGGACCTCTTTGAAGTTGAATCTGTTGATCATCAGAAGCAGAGTCATCATCAGCAGCATCTCGAATACGGAAGCACCTGGCACTCTCGTTTTTCTTGATCTCATTGGAGGAGAAAACTGTCACATACCCATCTTGCGAGCGAGTCACGACAATGCACTCCAATTCTGCAGCAATCTGAAGTGCGTTAAAGTGCCGAGTACCATGGCTCTCCAGTACAAACCCGGCTTGTTTCCGCACAGCAACCTGCGAATTTGCCGCCAAGATCTCGGACGTCTTGCCATCAATCACCATCCACCCGTCCCGCGAAAAGGATTTTCGCAAATCAGCTTCGATCCAGTCGTCAGACAGGTTGTGTCCAACCATGCTGGAAAGGTTGCATGAGAGCGGCATCACGCGGTCTTCATCAAGGTCAGATGGATTTACCAGAAGAAGTATGCACCCAGTTTCTTTGCCCTCATATGTCTTGTATATGGTCGCTACTTCAAGAGCTCTTTTCAGAACGTCACTCTGCACAGTCTGCGGGGGCTGAATGTTCTCAATCAGTTTAAGCCTTGAAATAGTACTAAGCTGAGCGGGAATTGGCTTCTTTTGGCGCCAACCGGCCGAAGCCAATGCCCTAAGCTGCAGACCTGCGCCAAATTCAACACGTTTCTTGATAGAAACATGAAGAGCACGGGACACCAAGCCAACAATCTGGTTCCTGTGGCAGCTTGCCATGCCACAACTGGCTCCGCAAAGCTTAACCACTTGTTCAAGGCTGCAGGGACATGGCAGCGGTGGGTGCTGGACCGAAGCTGCGCGAAGATGCCTAGCAACATCTTTGAACTACAGTAATCAAGAAGTTCATGGTTTACAGATTGACTCGCGGCGTAGTTTTGGTGTGCAGATCTGACCAAACTTCACCCCCCAAGACGGGTGGTTGTATATAACTATATGACCTTCAGTCTGGTTGAATCAAGAATATGATCCACAAACTTTGGCACGTTTGCCTTACAAAAAGCTCTTGGACCCCAGATCCCATTCTGCCAGCCGAAAACAAATACGTTAACACAAAACAACCCTGACCATGTGTCCAGTCTCGGCGGTCCCTCCTGCCCATGGGTTTTTGAAGTTTTTTGAAGTTATGTGTCACAATTGGATACCCCCCACGGTATTCCAGCACACGCGCGCGAGGACAGGTTGTAAAACGGGAGGATGTGTGAGCATTCCCAATTGATTACTCAAAGTCCAAAGAATGGTGCTTTGACCACCGACATTTGGCTATTGCTTGAAAACATGGCGGACGGCAAGGATCAAATCCAAAGAGCGAGCCTGCAGGCTTGGTTTCTGGATTCCCATGCATTCCCCGCAAATAGGTCGACTCACCGCAAGTGGGAATCCCTTTATATAGGTTCAATCAGCTCGAAACGGGCAAGCCCTAGTTCGAAACGGCAAGCCCTAGTTCACAACACACCAACAACTGCCCATGGTGAGCATGGTGTCTCAAACCCCAGCATCCCTATATGATTCTGGCCGTCATCACCCAGCGGCATAGATCTTGTGTGGGGCATCCAGCTCGTTGATGGTCTCCGCCACCTGATGATAAAGTCGAGAGCGAATCGATGGAGAGGACATCAAGGATACAGTACCACATCCAGCCGGCCCGGTCACAGGATGACCATTGATTTCTGCTGCTTTGAGGCTCACAAAAAGTGGCTACTCAAAATGGCACAATCTTCTGAGTGTTTCAGGGTCCCAAAAGTCCCACAAGTTGTTCGGAGGCTTTGGAGCTTTGCAATGGCTCAAACATCTTGTTGTCGTAGCAGTCACAAGATCGAAGCGGACATCACAGATCTTGGCGTGTCTCTGACTCGTTCTCCACCCAACATGTTTGTAGGAGTTGGCTATGGCTCCAAAATGTGGTGCCATCCAAAAGCCATGGCAAATTGATGAAAATTGACTTCAACCGAAACCTACGATCTGGGTCACCAATAAGACACCCCTACACTGGACAGCCCTTGGAAGTGCTAAATAGAGGTTTCTGGGGTCATTCTTCAAGCCACTGCGATTTTACCATAGGGGGATTTGGGTCCAAGAACTCATCACCCCTGCCTTGGGCAGCATGGTCCGATACTTTTTCGAGAACCGCCCGGGCTTTGGAGGCTCCGGAAGGATCCGCTCCTGTGGAGGCAGGCCAAGGTGCAGGAGTCACAGCTGCCTCTCTTGTGCTTGTGAAGATAGATGGTGGAGATGAATCCGGCAAATTGATTAATTAAATCCAATAGAATTTCTCCTGGTGTATATTTGATTAATGTTGATTATATGTGGATCTTTATGGGGAGTCACGCCGACAAAAATCTAAACCCGCCAGTCTGTCTTTGGCAGGTTTGGGCCATCATCGGCCATTATGGCCATCTGAGTTCCGCTCGCCGACCACGAAACCTTCATCCTACTAGGGATCAGGTAATGATTTGCCACAAGGGAGTGCAAACATGAGGTGATCTGATAGAGTTGCTGGTCCATCTGCCTTATGCCTTATATAAACCGAGGTGGAAAGATGGGGGAGTTTGTATTTTGTTGCTCCAGTGCGACATGTTCTTGAGCTCGGGAGTTTAGCAAACTCAAGTTGTGCTAATCATGCTTTGAGAGCTACCCTACAGAATGTGGCAAGAGAACGGGCAGGGTAAAGATGTGCTTGAAAGGATAGGATTCTGTGCATGAACCCTATATCGATGTGCACATGGTCAGAGTCGAGCATGTTGATTTATGTTGGGACCTGCCCCGACCCTGCAACGATGGCCCAGTGAGGGCCTCTGTGCGCCACCAGAACTCAATATCGGGACAACAACTACAGGGTTGTTCCCCAAGCCCTCAACGTGAATGGACAAAATATGGAAGATCTGTATGGCATATCATCTATTAATTGACCAAATGTTGCCCACCAACCGTCAGTCCTCGACCTCTTCCTCTGGTTCAGCTTGTTTGTCGTTCCTGATCACAGGTGACATCCGACGTGGGTGGAGAAAAAGCGTCCCAGATGGAGGGACGAAAGCAGTTCCCTGATCCGAAGCAGGGCGGTTGGTTTCAGACATTCGTTTCAGTGGCTGGAAATGGGTTTACAAGGGCATATGTTCGAAGGTTTGCTGCAAGGTCTGAGCAAAGAAACCCAACTGGATCATGGCCATAGCATGCCATAGCCTATTTGACAGTATTTGCCCACGACCAATTCCCCATCATACCTGAGTTGAGCCCACGTGGAACTTCGTATAAAAACCCAAGAGCCGAAAGTGTCTCAAGAGCTCTTGGCTTCGTCAACTTCAAACCGGAGCGCCCGCTTTCGGTGGAAAGAAAGAGGTGGAGATGGCAAGGTGGAGATGGCAAGGGCTGTGGACCCTCTGGATGGGTGTAGTTATATAGATCAACATGCCCATAAACAAAGTAACCATTAATCATACATATGCAATCCTTGCTTTGAAGGGTGTCATATCTCCCAATCCCACCACATTCTGAAGAACCACAACTTCATTGATTGGACTATGTAGTTGAATCTTGTGCACCAATGGTCCCTCCGGCTTTGCTTACAACCCCCTCACCATCTCTTTCCCGCATCACAGGTTCTTCTCTTCAGGTCATCCAGACCTCACCCTATGGTCCCTGCCCCGTCTTTCAGGTCGTCACTTGGAGCACCAAGCTTCTCGGGTTTCTCCTTCGATTCCTTCTCCTTCACCTCCTTGGGCTTCCGCTTTCGCCTCGTCGGCGGTTTCACGGTGGCGCCTTCATCTTCGGTCTGCGCCTCCTCCTCGTTGTAAGGCCTTTTCAGGGCTCTGTGCATGGTGGAAGCACCAGAAAATGTGCTTCAACCAGACCAGACCAATCTGATGGATAACCGTATAGCTTATGATTCTGCTGTCGTGTTCCAGAATATTGACAATAAGTTTAATAAGTAGGACGCAATGGGGCAAGGTATAGTTGAAGGCTCTCATCTAACTGCAAAACAGAAGTGCTGGTTGCATACCTTTGGCCGTGATATGCCCTGATGGTCCCTCAATATCTTAGCCAATGGGTCTCTCTGGCCGAAAAGCCACAGGCTTTTCAACCTCTAAGGTGCATTGGCCAGAGTTCAGATCAGATGTCGCAGATCTAGCCACACGTTGCTGGGCCTTGCTGCCCCAGAATTCGGATCTGCAAAGGTAAATCCCCTTTGGACCTGTATTGGCATCATGACTATCTACACATCTATCAACAAGGCCCTCAAAAAAACAGCCCTAGAATCAACTTCTGCCACCTGCCACCTGCCTCCTGCTTTTCACCCGACCGGCCTCTGCTCAAAGGCTCGGCAGTTGGCGCCGGAGCGAACCCCGACCTCTCGTGGGGTCGAAGAAATCTGGCGCCAGGCAGCATCTGGGCCGGCGCATTCCGAGATGAGCTTGTTCAACTCAGCTTGCCTAGGTGGCTGTGGTGGGCTGCTGTGGGCGGAGCCATGGCACCAGGAGGCCAATCAATGACGGTGAAGGATGTGAAGGTCTTTCCCTACATGGTGGACCAGCTCTCCAGGTTTTTGACCCCCCTCCAAATGGTCTCAGAAGTGGACCTCGAGGACCTATAGGACCATGGAAGGAGCTGAGCACAGATGCCTCCGACGCGTTCGGTGCACAGCAGAGTCGTTCAATCCAAGGCTGTTCGGTTTGAGCTTCTGTCTCTTCAAGGCCGTTCGGCTTGTTTTGATTGGTGCTCAAACCACTCGTGCTCAAACCACTGGGCATTGCCAGGACTGCCCTCCACTTTCGGTCGATGGATGATACGTTTTGCCAGCCAGCCGAAAGTTGTGAAGAAAGAACCTATGGAAAAAAGCTGCCACGTGACGGTTGTTCTGGTGTGGCTACTGCTGTTGGTCAATACTTGGTATTTCACTCTTCACGTCAGCACGTCAAGATGTCTTTCACCCAACATCAGGACAGCTGTTTCTGTGAGAAAATGAACACGAATAGATCAACACTTCATTGTCGTTTTGTGAAGTTCCTCTTGCTATCTAAACTGATACTCAATACTAAATACTGTCAGTTGAAGCCACACAAAAAGGCTCCCAAAACAGGGACAAACAACTGTTGGCATTCAAGTAGAGGCATGTGTTTCCTCAAAAACCTCCTTAAAGTAAAGCCAAAGTGCAGTGCTTCAATAACCTCCGTCTGTTTGTACTCCTTGACTTCTCCATTTGCATCTGCCGTCGGTATCTCGTCCATCTGGAAGATGGTGCCATTCAGCAAGGACTTGCCTTGGGCGAGCTGCGAGGTTCGATGCAGAGATCCTTCTCCGATGATTCTGCAGTACTTGGGGACCCACATATAGAAACTGTAGAGAAACTGTTAGAAGACACCCTGGCAGGGGACAGCTCATCTTCCCAACTACGCCAGATAATTGCCTGACAAGTAGGTAAATCAAGAGCTTGAATCAAGTATGGTCATGTCACCAGTCAACTATGGTCACGCCTCACGCTAGACGAACATTCACAAGATAGACAAGTGTGTCAAACAAAAACAGCTCACCTACCCCTGCGATACTAGTAGAGTCTAGCACCGTCGCAAGTCTGGGCTGGTGCTCTGGCAAGGCTATCATTGGGGGCGACCCCGGAAAGCCAGAGAAAGAAGTTGAACTGTAGGCTTTCATCATGTTTCATCCTTTGACAGTTGCATCGACAGTCGCATGCTTTTGGATGTTTCAATAACAAATCCGCCACCACCCCATTTTGCTGTTGGAAAACCACCGTGGTTCTTCTCCACCGGCTCACCGTGGCACCGGTGGTTCTCCTGCGTAACCCCCCCGATCGACCCCTTCTGCCCAGGCGGCGAATATCAAGCCGCAGCTTGCTGCGAGGAAGGCATCGCCTCCGCACGGGGGACGGAGGACTGTCGTTGGTCCGGTCGACGTTCGTTGGTCGTTGGTTCTTCGAACGAGATCAACGGAGGTCATCCGTTCTGCCGTGAAACGAAGGCCAGAGATGAGTGCAACAAAGGTGGTGCAACGATGGTAGGGCGATCGTGTACTTTCCAATGTCCAAAGTCCAAACCTGTTTTCTCTTGGAGATTGTCGTGTTTGTACTGGGAAGAGCTACTCTAATACTATAGTATCAACCTGCCATGAACTTGGAGCTTGGAGCCAACCAAATGTGTGGTGGTGCGTGTGATGCTCCACAATTCATGTGGGGGGATGCTTTGGTGATGCTCCGACTTGAGAGATGATGCATCTAAAGATGGACGTCGGATGAACCGTCCGGAAGGTCTCCTGCCGTGAATCTGTTCTTCAGTTCTTCAGCGGTTTTCATGGCCGAACATCTCCCAACCAAGGCGCTGCCCTGGCACACCCAGTAATCCCTTCATGCAGCGATGTCCCACCAAATAGATCTCCGCCTGCGCAGAATCTCTCGATGCGCAGAACGATGTTCCGAACAAATCGGATGAGAGAGTCGAGAACTCCGGACACGTCAATGAAAGAACGTGGTGAATTGTTGTTCAAGAGGCGGTGGTGGCTGGAAAAGGATGCTTGAAGCCAACTGATGACTGCCTGAGGAAGCAACTGACATACAGTACTCAGTACTCCATAGCTGCAAGGCGAAACGGCTCTCTTTCAAAGCAGGATGTTCCATGCCAGCCATATATGCAGCTCTCACCTCCAGCTTCCTTCCCGCCGAAACCCTCCCCCACCCCACCTGCATGGTTCTTTCGACCTTCTGCTCGGGTGGATCCTTTGGGCTCCGCCGCGCGTAGCAGCGCACGCGGTAGGGCCGCCGCAGCAAGTTGCCGCACACGTCGCAGCGCAGCTTGTCGCGGCTCACCCGCTCTTTGTCGCGGGGATCGATGTAGGCCGAATCTGCGGAGAGGCCGAGAGAGGGAGGTTGGGGGGGACGCCGGACCGGCGGACCGGCGGGCAGACCGGCGGGTGGAGGTTGGGAAAAAAAGATATAATTACGCCATAATGAAGTCAGATTCGACAGCTGATGGTGTTGTGAACAAGAACAAGGGCTTTCTTCCCATGATTTTTGGTGTCAACTAGCCAAGACCGAACACTCCTGGCCCTTTCTGGGCAGCTGATGTCACGCAATGTCACGCTTTCTGTCACGTCAACGCAATCACGTCCGCCAGTCTGTCAACTAGCAACTAGCCACGCGTCTGACTTCTTGGCGCCACGCGAAGTGATAACCCTCCGTGCCTGGATCGAAGGTATACTTCGATTTCCCTTTCTCGGCCCCCGCTTTCACCACCCACACGAAGTTCATCCGCCGGTCGGACTGAATGGGAGCACCGGTGCCTGAGGGAAGCGACAGCCGGTCCATCCGGCGGAGTGGGTGGAAAGAGGGAAGACTGGCCAGTGTCTAGCTCGTAGTGTTTTGTCAAGATCATGAGTTTAAATTTGTATATATACCACTACAATAAGGACATTTGATGAATATTTGATGATAGCAGTGTAGCACTCAAGATCACACGTGAATCACTGCCACCATCCGCTGGACAGCGCTTTCCTCTGGTGGAAGTTTTCCACTTTAGACGTCAAAACTCGCTGGTTTGGGAGAGTTGAAACTGGGAGACGGCCAAAGTGAACAAGTTTTTGGATACCTGCAGAAGACATGTGTCACAGCATGACCTTACATGATGTTATTAGTTCACCGGATACGTACATTGTGAATTCTTCTCAAGTGCTGGTCCCATCATCACTGGCAACAAAGCCGCTTGAGCAGTGGCCATGGACACCGTCCCTGGCGTTTTGGCAATCTCGCGGTTGTGTAGGGGGTGCATCATCCAACTGGCCTTCCCAATCCTCCAAGATCATGACCTGACCCCATCTGAAGAAGATCAGGTGTGCCCACAAACCCATCTGCACCTGCCCCACCACCCATGCCAAGTCCGCTCGTTCAACCCGCGACCGAACGCTCGTTCAGAGTCGAAGTGGCGGACGAAGGTGGCAGTCTTGGAGACCGAATGGTCACCCTGTTCAGGATCCTCCATGCCGCGCACATAGCCATCCACCTGCCGGGAGCACGGTGCTGACGGTGCGACCGGAGTGACCAGGCGGATGCGGAAGACGGACGTGACGTCTGCATGGTTTGGGCGTGACGTGACCAGCTGGAGCGGAAGACGATGACTTCACCGTTTTCCAGCTGAAGCGTCTTTCTTGCCATGTGTTCCAGCTCCTGCAATGAACACAATATTGTTTCAAACTCTTCCAAAGAAAAACACTGACTGAATGTCAGCGAATTCAAACAGCCCTGCAACGAAGATCCCACCATCTCTAAAAAAGAACCCGACGAGTCTTAGACGTCCCATTCCTGACAAAGGTCTACAATCTCAAACCTCTCATCTCTTCTCATCTCTTTTCATCTCTCCTCCCCTACCTTCTCCCTCACCAGTTGCGACTCTTCCGCCACCACCACCCGCTGTTGTGAGCTCGAGGAAGAGCGCTTCCGCTTCCGCTTCCCCTCGCGGCGCTTCGACTCCTTTGACTCCTTCGACTCCACCGCGAGAGTCGTGGCCGCCACGCCGTTCTTCGCGTCGTGCGTCCGCATGGCGGTCGGCCAAGGGCGCCCATCGCGGTGCTTTTCGTGGCGGTATTTTTTCGGGGAAAAAGCGGTGGTGGCAGGTGTGGGGAGCGGGAGAAGGGACGAGTGGAGCTTTTGGAGTTGTGACGTTTCTGTATGTTTTTGCGAGGCCCGGTTTTAGGGGTTCGGCCCAGTTTTAGGGGGGTGGAACCTGAAGGTCTTAGACCGGCGGATTGGACTAAGAGTCTCAGAAATCTGGATCTGAAGGGCTCTACTTCATAGATTTCATGAAACCAACCCCTCCAATAGCGATGTTTGGGTTGAAGGAGGTCTGTTTAGATGAACAGTCTCCGAATTTCGTGGTGGAATCTTTCATGGGTGCACCAATGAAAAAGGCAAGAACCTTGTTTGCTGTGGACAGGGAAGCTTGTTAAGCTGACAATTCCAGTTGGAGAGCTCAGGCTATGATTCAGCAGGGCACCACAGCAGGGCGAGCTGTGGTCATGTCGTGTTGATCATGGATGCGGGCCTTTGCTTCATGGTCTTTGACGGCTGGTTGCGCCAAGTTGCAGCTTTGCTTGGATCGAGTCGGATAGAGGACTACAAAACATGGACCATTAGAAAAATGAAGGATGTGACATTGTGCTACATGCTTACAACTGTCGCCATGCGTCCATTGGTCCACATGTTGTTGTCCTTCATCTTAGCATCATTGGCTTGGCTCTTCCATGGGCCGGAACTATGCTGCGTTGAAACACCCGGTGCCCAAAACGTCCGACTCTCCAGGGATCGATGGGGGTTCTGCTGGCACTGGCAGACCCAAGCTCAGTGTCTTACAGATCGTCTGGCCAGACAAGTGGCCAGCTTTCAGACCTTTAAGCTTGCCTCTTTCAAAAAATCTCAAATCTGCAGGGTGTTCTAAGAAATCGGTGTTTTTCGACATGGGATGTGATGGTCTGTGAGAAAAAATCACCCAATTCAAGTGACTCTATCAAGATATTCTGGACATGAAGGGATGGGATGGGGATTGTTTTCCTTGCAGACGATGCAAAAAGTGCACCGAAAAGAGCAATCTTGCCACCCAAAGCCTAGTGCACTACACTCTCTTTCCATAGCTCCTTCAGCCTGCAACTATCCATATTGCATCATATAGATACCAGATTCATCTCTATCACATGGAACAAACCATATGGCGCCATGAGAAACCACCGATCACTGGTTCGATCTGGGTCCTGCATCTGCTCCCATCTCTCGATGGGGCTCCCAACGGTCCCCAGCTCCTTCAAAGCTCCACGGACCTACGAATGCACTCGCAGAACCGCCAACAAAAGCCACTGCTCCCAGAACTGCCCTGCTCCCTGTCCCGATTTTTTCGGCTGATTCGGTTCGATCTTTTGAACTCCATGTGGGGGAGTTTCACGAAGTCTTCGCCCATGTCTCGCCACCTGTTTTATCTTTTCTGCTGAAACCCACTTTTGAAACACCACCTCATGACGTATAGAACGAACGAACACACCAAAAAAGGCCCGCCGTTTTGGGGGGGGCGCAGAACGCTCCAGCGCAGCTCCGCTCTCTCCGCTCTGCAGCCGCTCCGCAGGACGGAGCGAACGCGCCTCGTCTCCGATGGAGCCTCGTCCCAGGTGGGATCCGTCGGGGGGTCCGGCCTGGGCCGAAGGACAGGCGAAGCCGCGAAGCCTGGTTTTTTTGGGGGGGACGAAAAGGACTTTGGGACGCCGGAAAACACGAAGATTGGAGGGTTTTCATGGTGGAGGTTTGGGGTGAAGCTGGTTGTTGGAGATTGGGTTTGTATGTGTTTGTATGGGTTTGCGGGTCTTTATAGGTGATACGTGATAAGAATTTGCAATACCAGCAGCGGTTGAAAAACCCTATTAGACTATCCTTTAGATACCCCAGTAGAGTCCTAGCTCAGGTCACTCAACCTCTGTTGGTCTGGTTTTTGTGGTCACCAAATGCTGGATGCTCACTGTCTCCTGGCTCCAGAGCCATGCGACGGCATGGACAGAGGAAACTGTGCCACCATCGACCCTCTGAGACAGGGAGAACCGGAAATGATAGGAAACAATTATGTGTCAAACAAATAAAATACATAAATAAATAAGCAAATACTTAAATACATAGAATTGAAAAAAAAAACATAATAACATACAATAACAATAAGCACAATAGATCTAAAAAGACGAAAACATGTATTTCGAAGTATATATATATAACTTTCCCCAGAAAGGAGATTCATCATGATTGACCGGAGGAAATTGAGCATCACCTTAAGCAAAAACAGAATCCGGTTGGTGAACTGATGGAAGACCTGTCAGAATCTGTCAGACGACCATGCGCCCAAGGGCCTGTCCAAAGACCCAAAAGAGAAGAAAAGAGAAGCTGTGAACCTCTTCACATCATCACTTGATACAATTGCGACCGGGGTCAACAGATACCCACAGGACTCTCAGCACAACGGTGCTTCTTGGGTCCGTTTACATGGCCGGTTCTTGCGCTTTCGGCTCGAGGGAGTGGTCATGTGTGCAGAGCTCCTGCCTGACCGTCATTGATCTTCCACGCAACAAGTCTTAGGATACGGAAGCAAGTCTTCTCCTTGGACCACCCTAGACGCTGGCTGTGGCTCTACCCTGAGATGAACGTCATCCACTTTGTCCATACCAAACCAATCCTCAGATCCATCCATTGCCCAAAGGAATCGCTCCAGAGCCTCTGCCCAAAGAGGGTCTTCACTAGCCTTCCGTTCGACCATGAAAAGAGTTCGGTTGACCTGGTTCTGTAACTTGTCTAAAACATGGTTGCTCGGGAATTAAGGCTATATCTGCTTCGGGTACACCCCATTACCAGTAAAAACTGGATGATGATTCCTTGATGGTCAGGTTGCAGGCCTTTCTCAAAAATAGAAAAGTTCTCTTTTACCGACTGCTACTGGTCATGAAACACACCCAGCTGTATCCCCTACAGATCAATGGTGCTGTGAAGCCTTGGGTCTTAGGTCCTCGCTCCTGCAAAGGTGCGAAGGGCTCGCCCCAAGTCCGTCCTGCGCGCGCGGCAGCAATAGTGGATCACAACTGCAGTGAAAACTCCTCAAAGCTGAAAGATGTTCGGGATTTTGTGGGTGGCTCAGGTGCTGCACCTTGTTGGAAGCTGTCGAGTTTCTCACAGGAAAAGGATACCCCAAAAGGGATGTTCGGCTGCTGTGGTTTTGGGAGGTCTAGGTTTCACCGAGACCCATGATAGCTTTGACACTAGTTATATATATATAGAGAGAGAGTTACAGCCAACGAAAGGATCATCTTGCCAAGCTGCAACCCCAGGCCCCAGGCCAGGCGGTTGCACGATGTGGTATTTAAACCAAAAGCTGACAGGACGGGATGCCTTGGCTGAAGACAAGCTGATGCTGAAGCTCAGCGAGGCCCTTTGGGTGAAGAACTGATGGAACGGCTCAGCGTGTCTTCCACCCCACCCGACGCGTCGTTCACGCTGGGGCGACTGGACCGAAGATTGCCACTCCAAAAAAGAGAACGTCAAAGGAAAAACAGCCCAACGAATGGTGCGCCCCCTCTTGCTTAAGGTTAGAGAATCCCCATGTCTGATAGGATGGATATGATCTGAGTACTGATTGACCAAAGTCCTTGGACAGCTGGAGGAGTGACAAGGGTTCATTCACATGGCGATGACATGGAACATCAAATCCATCCAAAGACTTCATCATACTTCATCCAAATATCTTCTTTCGAAAGACTCCAGCACCCGCAGGCAAAGTGATGGTGATCGCTTCACCTGAAAAGCATACAGCTCGGCTCAAGGTCACAGCTCTAGCACGTCCTTCCAAAGCCAGGCCTCAAAACGGCCAAAAAGGACTGAAAGTTTGCACATCGATCCTGTTCGGCTTCCAGTTCCCATTTCTGGACAGACAAAATCGCAGATGGTTTCATCCATTGAGCCAGGGATACTCCCTCGAACTTTAATATTTCACATGTACAACCTCCATGCGGACAACCAACTTGGTTTCCAACCAAAACAGCCTGTCAATGTATATAGCTGCATGTTCAAACAAGCACAGATGTTGATTCATATCAACCTTGAGGTGAAACCAGGTGTTTCAACATCTTCGCCCACGTTCGCTCAAATGTGTCTTGTGTCTGTGCCTGTTGGATAGAACCATAGGGGGGTTGGGCTGGGCCGAACTCTCCAAGTTCGGCCGCCTGCGGCGACGAAACGGACTCACGACCAACGACATCCGCCGAGTTGCGCCGAGGTGTCCAACGGCATAGGACGAGGGCCATGACCGGACGGGAGGGGATGGAGTTCGTCTTCCGAGCTAAGAGTGGGGATTGGCTGTTGAAGGGGTATTCGGTATTCGTCTATATTGCTAAAGTGTACTGCGAAGTCACATACTAGGTGCCAGTGGATGGATTATGGGCCTCACTTTGATCGTGTTTTCAGCCGGTAGTGACCAAGCTCTGCGGATGGAAGGTTTAAGCCTGTCTTCGATGTGACGTGTCGAGTTAAAGCCGGTAGTGCCCAGGAAGAGGATCCTGAACGAAACCTTGCAGCTCGGCCTGGAACTCTGGGGCATCAAACATGCGTTTATAGGATAATACCGATTGTCATGACAGTTGCTTTGATCTTGACTATAGACATCTCCGGTCTCGAGATGCTTCTCTAGCCCCAAACAGCACGTCTGCAGCCAACCGCGCAGCGGCACCGCGCGGCAGAACGCGACGCGGAACTCGTGGCTTCCGCAGCGGCTCGGTGGCTCCGAACAGGGGCGCTCGAGCGAGCCATGATGACTCTGGGAGTTGCAGAACACAAGAATGTAGACCTCTTGATCCATAACATAATAAACATATAAAAACCTCCCCAGACATGGATTGAAAAGAACCTCTTCATGTGTACAAGAAATCAAGAGTCTACAGTCTACATTAGAGAAATCCTTCAGGAAAAGGCCTCGGACAAATTTGACCAATCAACAGTTTTGGCTAAACTAGGAGACCATACATTCGGTGGATTCCTTTCCTGCCAAGTGAACTGATTGTTTTTCGAGAAACCAAAAAAAACTTCACACGGAACATCACGGAACCAAAACACAGGTTTAAATTACGTTTAACATTCGGAAAACCATCCAAGGGTTTCGGGCTCAATCAGTCAATCTCCTGCCAAAAGCATTCTAGGGTGACATTTGTAGTTCCTAACGATTTGGAGGCCCCTGAGATACGGGGTTTGACGAGAAGTCCGTCATTGTACAGAACGGAAGCATCCAATAAAATTCAGTTGGAGCATGGAGGAACAAGGATGTACTATAATTGAACCGCAAAACACATGCATCCCAGTTGGTTTCTCTTGCGCCTCATGCAGAAGACCGGCATCAAAAAATCAGGTTCAGCCAAATTCAGTTTGTTCAATTCACCTTGGGAACTTGGGAACTGGAGTTTCTTTATATAAATCCTCAAAGAAACCACAAATGTCCCACTGTTATGTTCAAAGGCCGGAACTGAGCTTCTGGAGAGCTCCTCGCAGCCAAGAACCAATGACCGATTTTGCTCAGCACGCGCGAGTTTCGCTGCTGCTGTGCGGCGCGGGCGGCTCGGCGCACCTGGTGCAGTAGGTCAGTAGGTCCTATGTTGTCCAGATTAGCATGGAAGAGAGTATGCTCAGTGAGAATAAACCTAAAGAAGCCTTGGAAGAAACCGACCTTTATATAACGAAATGAAAAGCATACACATGTTCTTTGGTTCTGCTGTCGGGGGG